AAAAAAAAAGCACAACACACCATGGGTCCAACCATCAAGACTCAAGAGGGCCTATGGTGGGTGGCGCTGTGCCCTTCCTCCAGCCCTGATGCACCCAGAGTGGCTGGGAGGGCAAGAGGCTGCACCGTCCCAGCAAGGTTGGGAAGTGGCTCCAGGCTTTGGCAAGGGCCACTCCGCCCTGGATCCATGCTCTCGTGGGTCATGATGTTTCAGGTCCCTGCGGACCCAAGCAGATCAACCCCTTCCCGCGCCTTGGTTGAGGGTGTTCAGCAGAAGGTCCCCAGAGACTTCCTACAAGCCTCCCCTGTGACTAGGATGGCTTCTGAGATCCACAGAAAAATGCAAAGGAATCGCGAAGGGGAAAGGCCACCAACAGCTCTGGGCCTGAGGCTGGCTGTGGATGAGATGGTTCAGAGGGGGCGCTGCCCTTCTGTCTTGGAGAGGAAGTAGGGGAGGATCCAACCTGGGGTCTAACCTGCTTGGTGGGTGCTCATCATGGGAGTCAAGTGGCAGACAAAGGTAGGATGCAGTTGCCCACTGGGCACCAATGTGCTCTGCCAAGTGTACCAGCCGCCCTGGGCTCTTACCAGCTTCTGTTCATGCAAACGGGTGATGCTCATGTGGGTGAGGGTTGGCTCAGCCTCACTCAGGTCCGCAGCACTGCCAGGCGGAAGGAAGGCAAGGTGAGGGGAGCTGGAGCTCGGGCCCACACTGCCCCTGCTCAGCCCACGTGGGAGGCCACGCCTGACCCACTTACCTAACACTTCTCCCTTTTTGAAGCAGCGTCCACACTCCATTAGGGCCCCTGTAGTCTGGGATAGAGGCTGCCTGCACGTCAAGAAAAAAGGCAAGCCAAGTAAAAGGCACCACTGTAGGTACTGGCAGAATTCCCAGAAACAGGGAGCCATCGTCCCTCCTGCTTAGTCCGGGCTGGCCTGCACGTTGGCCTCTATTCATTCCACAGGCTGACCTGCCTGAGCCCATATGGTGTGTACCGCAATTCGGCCCCTCCCTTCTACCTGGACTTCCGTTTCCCGCCTGGCCCGGCTCATCCTTCCAGGCTAAACACAGCCCTCTGGGAGCCTTTCTGGCACCAAGCACAAAGCTGGGCTCTGTGGCACAGGTGTCCTCCACATGGCAAGAGAAGACGAGTCATGTTCCTAAGCGTCCCCAGGGCCGAGCCCACAGCTCACACATTTAGCAAATGGTGAATCCCTAGGTGGGGGCAGGCAAATGTCCATTCTCATATCCTGATGCTAAGGGTTCCTACTCCACCTTAACAAAGGCAGAACCACCTCTCCAGATGAGATAAGCATCTAACTTCCCAGGTTTCCAATCCTGTGAAACAAACTGAGGCCCAGAGAAGGATAGAGAAGACATGACAGGATAAAGGTGTCTTGTGCTTCCTGCTGGGGAAGTCATTTCCCAACTCCTGCTTAAACTCAGAAACACGCACCCACCCTGGACAGCAGTATTCAGACAGTCACATTCAAAAGGGGAACCTCAAACAGTAACTGAAATCCACGAGCTGCATGTGCTCTCAGTTGCCACTGGAAGCTCTCTGTAAGAGGTCACATGATTGCTATATAATTATATGACTGGACTTTTTTTTTTTTTTTAAGATGGAATTTTGCTCTTTCGCCCAGGCTGGAATGCAGTAGCGAGATCTCTGTTCACTGTAACCTCTACCTTCCCATTTCAAGTGATTCTTCTGCCTCTGCCTCCCAAGTAGCTGGTATTACAAGCACCGGCCACCATGCCTGGCTAATTTTTGTATTTTTAGTAGAGACAGGGTTTCACCATGTTGGCCATGCTGGTCTCGAACTACTGACCTCGTGATCCACCCGCCTCAGCCTCCAAAAGTGCTGGGATCACAGGCGTAAGCCACTGTGCCCAGCATGACTGGACTTTCACATGTGACTGTGGAGGTAGGAGACCCAAACCCCAAGGGCTCTAGGTATTTAAGTCAACAGTGAACTCCTTTTCTGCATTCTTGCTGCTGAGCCTCTATTATTCTTTGCTTGGAGTGCCTCATTCCCACCTTCTCTTCTTCAAGGCCCAATTCATGGCCACCTCCCACAAAAAGCCAACCCAGGTAGGTTTCCCAATTCCATGAGGACGGGGTGTGTGTGTCTGGGTTTGTTCTAGTGACCCAGCACAGCCAGCTTTACCTTACAGTTGTTTGTTCACATGCCTGATTCTTGTCATCTAAAGGCTTCCTGAGAACAGAAATCACCTGGCGTTCAGATCTGCTATGCCCAGGCGTGCCTAGCACTCCACACTCACCCATTAGACTCGACGGACAAGGTGCCAGCTACATTTTCGAAGCCAGTGATGTCTCACAGCCCAGGAGAGCTTGTCAGTGAAACTTCTCAAAACACATTGCAATTCTCTCCTTCACCTGGTATATTCTGACTCTTACTGTGTCACTTTCTATTTATCCTCCCTCAACATGGAGAGAACAGAGTGGAGAATCACAAGACAATTTGGGGCTTAACTCTGTCCACATAGCCTGGGGGTGCCTGAGAGCAGTTGGCTACTACCTCCCATTTGTATCTCCTTTTTTGTTTTTAACTGGCTGTAATAGAGGCCAAGCGTTTAAGAAGTCTTTACCTTAGGTAAGTTTTGGTCGTTTCGTGTTTTTCTAAAAAAGGAAAAAACCTTAGAGCTGCTTTAAAGGCGAGTTTTTCGCGACTGGGAAGTTACCCAACTGGAGCGTGTACTCCGTCCTGGGGTCCACCTCCCAGAAGGGGCACCCCCCACCAGCCCCCGCCTCCCTCCCTACCGTGCTGATTCCCGCGCCTGTGTAAACGACCAAGTATTTGGCGTTCCGGATGGCGCTGGCCAGCTCCCGGACTTTCCCCCGCAGCTCCTCCGGGTCGTCGCACACCTGTCGAGACGCCAGGGTGGTCACCGCTCCGGGTCGCTCCACCCTGGGCCGCCCGTCGCCCCGGCTGCTCCCGAAACCCGAGGCGCCCGCGGCCGCCGCGCGCTGAACTCGCCTCCTCCTGCCGCCGCTTTAAGCCCTCGCGCCGCCGGCTCCGGCCCTGCAACTCCGTCACCAGGTCCCCGCTCTCCGCCAGCAGCCGGACCTCCTCGGCGCTGCGCTCCACCGCCGCCTTCCTCAGGATGCGCGACACCTGCGGGCAGGCGGGCGGTGAGCGGCAGCGGGGGCCGGCCATGGCTGGACCGGGGAGCGGCGGCTGCGTACCTGGCGGAGGCGATCCCGCTGCTGCTCCTCCCGCAGCCTCCGCACCCGCTCAGCGGCTTTGCGCTCCGAGCGGCTCAGACCTCCGGCTGCCATGGCTCCCCGGGAGACCCGCGCTTCCGCTTCCGCCTCGCAGGGCAGGCCGCACCCAGGGCGCATGCGTAAGCCGGGCTCCCACCCCCCCCACCTCTTCCGGCCCCGCCCACCGCGTCACTCCAAAGAAGCACCTGTCAGTCTCTTTAAAAGGTTTATTGATCATATACAAAATAAAGAAAACCTTATATATCACAAACATACACTATGTACAGCAATAAATACCCGGGGGGCCAAGCCCAGTGCTGCCCCTCCTGGACAATAATTTAGCAATAAATACTGCGCAGGGCAGGGGTGGGGCACTAAGGCCACTGCCCTGCGGGAGGTCAGGCCCCCACCAGCCCTACACGAAGTGTGAGCTCTCGGGCCTCACCCCGCATCCAAACCCCAGCCCCTCCTCACTTAGATCTTTAATAACCTCCATTCCACCCCAGCAGATCCCGAGGTCCTCTCCCACACACAGCCTACCCTGGCTAGACCTAGGCAGGGCAGGCAGGGACTGATCAACTCTGCTTGGACCCACCTCTCAGCGCCAGGAGAGCAACAGGGCTGGACACGCGGGCAGCCCTTGTCCTGTTGCCCTAAGTTGCCAGGAGAAGGCTTTCTGAACCCACTCCCGTTTGGTTAAAGGCTTCAGGGACTAGCAGATTGAGGGGATGGGAAGAAGGGCAAGGCTGGGACACAGGTTGCTGGAGGGGCTAAAGCCCAACTGGGGTCACCAAGAACAGGGAGGTCTCACAGTCTATAGGGGATACACTCTCACACTGTATCTCAGACTCAAGGGACACTCATGGTATCAAAGCTGCTGCTGCAGGGGCAGGGTGGAAATGTGTGGGACTGGTCTGGCAGGGGAAGCACACGCCCAGGACACAGGCCAGAGACAGGCCAGGCATGGGTCTCTTAGACACACCCTGCCTCTGTGTGGCATTGATTATGCACTCCACTCTCCCCACCTGCTCCAAGGCCAGACAGCCAACAGGAAGGCAAAAATATGCCAAAAGAATTATTCAGTGGCTTCTGGGGGGAAAAATCGTTAATGTGTTGGTTCCTTTCACCAAACCACAGCCTAAAAAAGTAACACAAGATCCCAGAGCGGAAAAGGTGTAGCAGGCTGAGGCTCAGACTTTCCAGATGTGGATGGGAGCTTTGGTCAAGTGGCCACTCCAGAGAGGGAGGAAGCAAGGACAACACGGGACCTCACCATCGTCCCAAAGCAGGCTGCAGCTCCTCAGGGATGTGGGCTGGGCACTGACCATTGAGGCTGCTGCTGCTGGTCAGAAGTGTGCACACATATCTGAAACATGCACCAAGAGCTGAAGCCCCAGTAACACCAGCACCACCCGGAGCAGCAGCCAGGCCCTCACTCTCTGGGTGAGAGCTGACCTGTCCCCACTGGGCATTTCTCTGAAATCTGAGTATCCATGTTAGGGCAAGGGAGGAGTTGGGGCAAAGTCAAGGTGGAAGGGAAGACATACATCATGGTTTACTTGGCGGACAAGATTGAGACCCGGCCTTGGCCATAGCCCTCAATTCGCTGTGTCAGAAAACCTGAGGTGAGAAGAGGAGGCCACCACCCTCTTCTCACCCTTTTCTCAGTAGGAAAGCGGGATGAAGATATCAGAAGGACAGCACACTCACATGTGCACATGAACACAGCATCTATGTCAGGAAATCCAGGGGAAGGGGAAGAGGGATGCAGTGGCTCCACAGGGCTGGCCCGACAGGAGACAGGAACACTCCCCTACACCTAGGGAAGTCGCTCCAAATCCAAAGCTCTTGAAAGGAGGTATGGCCTCAACACTCCAGAAGCCTCTTCTGCCAACACATCAAGGACTCCCCCTTCCATTCGGCCTGCGCCCACCCTCACACCCTCCTCTTCTGCACTCCCTTGCCTCCGGGTCTGCAGCCTGGCAGAGGTGCTCAAAATGGATGGCTACCCCCAGCCAGGACAAAAGTGGGGGCCACAAAAGGACAAGGAGGGCCTGTTCCTCCCTGCTCCAAGGCAGATCATGACATTTTCTTCATAGATACTTATGATATGATTCCAACTAATGCCTGGATTCTAGTTAGACAAAACTAGACTGGGGGGAGGAGGATAAAGTCACTAAATGACTAGAGTCAACATTTCCATTTTCAGGCTGGCCCAGGTAGAAACAAGAGTTGTCCCTGAACACCTAGCGCAAAGAGAAGCTCATTAAGACAAGTGTTGATGGTACATCCCTGTTCACATCTCACAGGCACACCAGGCCAAACTCTTGGATGAAAATCCCACCACCCACAAGGTTAAGCCCTGTCAGCCAGTTTTTTTCATCTCACCAGCCCACATTTCTGTGCTTTACAGGAGACTGGGCCCCACAGAGAAGAAACCAGCAACCCTGGTGAAAGGTCAAGGTTCACACGGCCAGACACAGAGCTGTAGCCTCCTGGGGGTGTGTGGGTGCACCCCTTCCCATCATATGCCTACCAGGAGCCTCCTGAGCCCAGCCGAGAAGGGCAGCAGCCTCTGGCGAGGAACTGGGAGCAAGAGGCAGGCTGGGCCCCCAGAGGGAGGCACCCCCAGTGAAGCCAAGCAGCTGATCCCTGGAAGACAGATCCCAAAGGGAGGCAGAAGGAAGGCCTGAAGCCAAGAGCTGCCAGGATGGGCCAGCGGAGAAGGGTAAGACCCGGCCCTGGAGATCGTAGCCCTTGTCTGCACTGGTGGAGACCCCCCACCACTCTGCCTGGAAGCACCCCGCAGCATGGAAACAGTTCAGGGATCAAGCAGGCAGTGGAACCTGTAGCCCACGGTGCGGGCCCCTGGGGTTCCCAGCTGAGGCCCCATGTGAAGAGGCCAGAGGAAGACGGCCAGGGAAAGCGTGGCCACAGTCCTGTGGCCACCCACAGTGACTCCTTGGTCCCTGCACCACCACCGCCCAAGGCCAGAGGTGGTGGGTGTGGAAGCAGCGTGGGGGGCCCCAAGGGACCCCCAGTGTTACCTACTGTGCCACAGCATCAGCCCCAGCCCTAGACATAGATGTAGCCAAGGTTCAATGGGGTGAGCATGACAGAGCCCCACATCTCACCTCCTAGGGACCAGGGGCTGGTGGTGGGCACAGACTCCTTGAGCTCTGACGAAGCAGGCGCCCCCTGGCACCCCAGCCCAGGTCCAGCAAGCCAGCAGAAGCAAAAGCACAACGAAACCCAAAAAACAAACACAGGAAAACAGACACAAGAAGTGACACCCACAGGTCAAAGGTCACCAGAAGCACCAGCACTTTACCGCTGCACAAAACCTCACCAGGCACGGACAACACCACGGCACCGGCAAGAGACGGAAGCAGGAAGGGCAGAGGAGTAAGTCACTTTCGGTACAATTGCAAAAGATATCAAAGAGGACGGCCTTCTGGTCGGTTCACCGCTTGGCTTTTTTTTTTTTTTTGTCTTTTTTTAAACTAAGTTTTATAAATAATGTCTGATAACTCTGTGTATATAAAAACTAAACTCCAACAGCCACAAAGAGTTGTCCATAAGTTTACAAGAAAGGGATTTTTTTTGTTTTTTTTTTTTTTTTTTTTTAAACTAAAATTGTTTTTTTTTTTTTTTTTTTTTTTTTTCTTTTTTAACTAGCAAAGTTTCTATTATACTTTCTTCCTTTTTCCATTGACATGGTCAAATGGTCTTCTTGCTTGTTTTTTTTTTCTAAAAGACAGTTTTATAAATACTCTGCAGCTTTTCTCTTTAACTTTTAAACATATAATTAATAACTTTGTAAAAGGAACTTCTCTCTTTTAAATAAAGGGCTATATAACCACACAAATAGGTCATGTAAACAGTGACACGGGACCCATCGCAGGGCACACGGGACTCACCCTCACGTAAGCGCACAACCAGCGATTTGGTCTTGTTCAGTGCAACGGGTCAGGCTTGAGCGCACAGCCCCTGGCCCCAGCACCACTGCGCCCAGGCTGGCGGTCCCCCCATCAGGGCCCTCAAGGCCATGCCCTCCTCTCAGAACACAGCCCGTCTCTTCATGCTGGGCTGAGCTGAGCTGAGCTGCCCTCCTGGGGCTAAAGAGAGTGAATCCTTCCCAGCCCGGGAGAGCACACGGGAACCCTCACTGCTCAGGGACACGAGAGGCCCAGCGTGCCAGCTCCGTCTCTCTCCCTGCATCTCTCTGAAGTCCATTCCCACCGCACCAACTCTGGGCTCCAAGCCTGCATGGCCTTGGTACAAAAAGGGTTGGGGCGACCCCACGTCACCGCCAAACTGACCAATCCCAACATACAAAACACACGACGACAATGACGAGATCAAAGGGGCTCAGCCTGGTGCCCCTGGGGTACAGGTTGTGCTTTGCAGGGAAGAGAGAAGGGCGGGGAAGAGAGGGAGGAAAGAGAAGGAAACAGAGGGACAGGGCAGCCGAATTCGCCATGTGCCTAGTGGCCCCGCAAAGACCCGCCTGGGCAGATGCGCGTCCCTACGACCGGGCATCCGTCTTGGACTTTACTATTGTGATGACGCTGGTGGCAGCCACCTTGCCTGGGACGAGGGGCCCCAGGCCGGCAGCAAGGGGGCCCCGGGCCGGCGCCACAGGGCTGCGAGCCACCGTCCGGGCGAAGGTCTGCAGCGCCTCATACTTAGAGCGCAGCGCGTCGAGCTCCAGCTTCATGCTGGCGTTCTCCGAGGCCAGCTTCTCCACCTCCTGCTGCAGCTCTGCCTTTTGCTTCTCCAGCTCCTCCTTTTGCGTCACCCGCTTCACACGGCAGCTGGCAGCGTAGCCGCGGTTCTTGAGCGTGCGCCGGCGCTGCTTCAGCTGGACGATCTCCTCCTTGGACAGGCCCCGCAGGTGCTGGTTCAGCTCCCGCACCGACATGGTCACCAGCTCCTCATCAGTCAGGCTGGTGCCATTCTCACCTGGCTCCCGCTTCACCTGGGGCACAGCACACAGGGTCACAGGCCAAGCAGGCATGCCCACGGCGCCACCCCAGCCTGAAGGTTCCCTGTCCCTCCCCACTCACCTTCAAGGCCTTGTTTCCTTTATTGGGGGTCGTCATAACCCGGGGGCACAGCGAGCAGGCGCTCTCTACAAGACACAGAGCAGAGGTCAGTACCCTGGAGACCAGCCTCACCCCCCACCCCAGTTCACAGAGCCCCTGCCGCACAGCCCGCCCCAGCCTCTGCCCAGGTACCCAGGCCCAATACCTGATCAGAGGCAGCCCTTGGCCTCTCCCAGGCTGGGCTGAGCTGCTTCCTGTCCACCCTGCCCCTAGAGAACCAGGTGGGAGGTCAGGAAGGTCTAATGGGAGAAGGGGAACTGAAGGCTGTTAAGAGAGGCAGACGCAAGACAAGGGGCGCGGGAGAGATTAGAAGGAATAAGACTTGGGAGGGGCAGGCCTAGAAGGAAGCCGGGAGCTTTAAAAATAACCCCAGCACTGCCCCAGAGCACGGCTGTTCCTGGCGAGTCACGCTGACTCAGCACATTGCCTCCCTGCTCCCTCACCGCGCCCGCACTCCCTGGGCCCGCCAGCCAACAGCGCCCCAGGAGAGCTGCAGCCGAGCTGCTGGGGGCCAGAAAGGCCAGCCTGGCCAATAGCAGGTGAGGGCCAGCCAGGGACCCTGTGCATGAATCCTCCGGGGTCCTACCTCCTTCAGCCACCTCCCCTGAGCCAGCCTGGGACAAAGCCCCCTGCTCCCTGGGTGCACAGGGGCCCCACTGGGGACTGGGCCAGAGAGGAGGCTGTAGGGAGCCCCGATTCTCCCAGAGTCTCCTAACTTTGAGTAGCTGGGGGTGGGCCGTCCAGCTAGCTCTGGTCTGTTGGCCAGACTGGCCAGGGAGTTCCCCCACCTTCCAGGTGGCAAGCCATCAGCTGGGAGGAGCTTGGCCCGAGGCCCCTCTGGCCCTCTCCGCCTGCCTCCTCCACGGATGGAGTAACCATCCTGTGGCTTTGGGTTGCAGGAAGCAGCCCCTGCCCCACCCCATCCAGGGTGTTTCACAAGCTCTCCCACAGTGAGCCACCCCGGGGCCTGCCCAACTGGAGGCTGGTGGAGTCAGCCCCTCAGGCAGCCTGCTCTCTGGCCCCCTGCCCCGGGTCAGTGCCCACAGAGCCAGGGAACAAAAACTAAAGAACCAACTCATCCACTTGGGGTCCTCCCAGCACGCAGCTCACTTTCTTGCCAAGGACATTTCTGTGCACCTCATCCCAGAAACCCATCTGGGATTCCTGGCTCAGCCCAGCTCCCACCATACCCTTGGGCATGGACCCTCCGGCCCCACGCTCTATCCCCCACTTTCCAGGTTTGATGCAGACAGATGGGAGTCTCCTCCAGAGCAGCCAGGAGCACTTCAGGAAATTATGGGCTGGGGGACTTCTCTCACCAGTTGCTGAAGTGTGGCCAGGCAAAAGCACACGTCCTCACCAGGGTGGAGACCCCACCTCACCCAGCCTTGGATCAGGAGGTGAGGCTGAACCCACACAGCAGGGAGGGGAGGTCAGAGACCCCTCCCCACAGCCAAGCCATCTCAGAGGCAAGGTGCCAAGGCTCCAGCCACTGGATTCTTCCAGATAAAGGACGGGGAAGACCTGCGCTGGAGGTCAGAAGGCCCACAGGAGCTCTTTCCTACATAACCGGCACCACACTGCCCCAGGAGACAGGGCCTCAGCCAAGCACGGCAGGGGCCCCCCAGCCTTGAGTGCAAGTCAGAGTGTAGAGACACTGTCCTGGCACCAGCTTCTCCCACCCCCATCACCCCCACCCCTGCTGCTAAGCACAATGACAGCGGTGACTTCCTGAAGAGATCACACGGAAAACTGCCTCCTCGACAGATTTTGCCCTCTGCAGAAGGCCTGAACTCAGCACGAGTGCAGCCAATCACCTCTTAATCAAAGGTGTGCTAGGGTGGGGGAGGGGCAGGCCTGAGCACAGCCAGTGTTTCCAGGCTCCTGACCTAGCCTCTGGCAAGCTGGGACACACGCTGAGCAGGGACAGCCTCTGGAGCTGGGCTGAGAGGGACAGAGCAGATGAAGGACTAAGGAGAAGCTGGCCCCAACCCAACCCTCCTCCACCCTGAAGGCTGGCCAGACATCCTCTGCTGATCAGGCATCCTCTGCTCCCCCAAAGGCTGAACCCACCTCACACAGGAGGCACAGGTGATCACGGCTCCCCAACCCACCAAAGTACCTGGGCCACCCATTTCACACTGAGAGTCAGGAAAGGGAAGGAGGTTTGGGAGCTCCATCTCCCTTTGGCTAAGTGGAACTCCTGTGCCTGAACAAAGACAGCCCCACTAGTCTGCAAAGCCCAGTGGCCGAAACTCCCTGGAAGTTGTGGCCTCTGCTGTCATCCCACCCTTGGATCCACCTGCTGCAGAAGCGCTCAGCTCCTCAAAGTCACTCTTTGAACAGAATCTAAAACTCAGTTTCCACTGATACATAAGTGACTGAGAATATCACAAATGCCCCTCCAGGGCCCTGCATTTTCCCAGGGCGTAAAACTCCAGACCAAAGGTCAGCGGAAGTATCGAAACATCTGGAATCTATAAGCCCCAGGGCTCAATGAGAGTAGACATGTACTCTGTGTGGGCATTCCTGAGGAAATACCACAAAGTGGCCTAACGCAGCCATGAACCCCTGGGCAAAGGAAGGCTACCTTCACGAATCTCCACATACCCAAGGAAAGGTGGCTCAGGCCACATGACTCCCAGGCTGCCACTTCCCAAACATCCTGGCACACGTCCTCTGGGCCACCAGGCCAGACACCCAGCAGGGCCATTCTCTTTGCTAACTTCACACAACACTGAGACCTGACTTCAGGTATGGACAACTCTGGGGTGACTGGGTGCTGCGTTCTGCCACCCTATGCCTTCCACACCAGCCCAAGGCTAGGCACCCCTAAGCTCCCACCACTCAGTCTCAACCCAGACTCCAAGGCCAACTGGGGAGAGAGGCAAGGCTGCTTCTTCCCCCTTGCAATTTCCTGGTAGACCTGCCCTGCTTCCTCCTTGCCCTGCCCTGCCCACTGTCACCCAGGGCTTGGTACACACACCCCTCTTTCTCCCAGGGCCTGGATCTCTGGCCAGGGGCTGTCCAGACAGGCCAGTCCCAGGGAAAGCCGACTTCCCCTTTGGCTAGCACAGCCCACCGAAGCTCCTCCCCTCCCAGGGAACTATTTCCCAGTTTGGGAAACTGCTCCGGACGTGGGACCAGGACCAGCTGCCGGAGAAGAGCCGCCTGGGAACCGGTGGATGGCCCGGGGCTTCACCTTCGATCCCGGGAGAACACCTGCAATAAGCCACCCCCACTTCCTCTTCAAGCACTCCTGCCTTCGAAAGGATCGCTCGGCCCTCACTTAAACAGGCACCCGAAGGCGCGGGGCCCGGCCCCCTCCCACATCTCCACGGCTCCCTCCCACCTCCCGTTGGCGGCCTTTCAGTCCCTGAGGCCCCTCGCTCCAATCCCCTCCGGTATCAGCTTGAGCACCGAGTGACCTCATGCTGATGACTCAGCAAGTCTCCCTCTGGGCTCTGGCACGCGAGTGACGCCCGAGCCCGAGCCCGAGCCCGAGCCGGCGATGCAGGATCTTCCCCGCCGCCCCCCACCACAGCCGCTCCCCTCCTGGGCCGCCGCAGACCCCGGCGCCCGGGGAGCGCAGACGCGGCCACCTGATGAATCAGCAGCTACAGACCAGCCGCCGGGCCCTGACGCGGACCCCCGGGCGCCTCGCTCGACCCCACCCTTTCCTCCCAGCGCCTGGCGCCCCTCCCTCCAGGAAGCTCGGGTCTCCGAGTCCGCCCCGCACTCGCCCGGCTCTGCGGGTCTGCCGCCGCCCGCGGCCCACCCCCAGCACCCGGGCGGCAGGGGCAGGAGCTGGCTTCTGACCGCTGGGGAAATCGAGGCACGGGCCGCCAGCAGGGTGCGCGGCAGCCCTGAAACCAGCGGCCCCCGCCTCCAGGCCCTCAGCCGCCAGCCGAGCCGCGGAAGGAGCCCGACCCGCGGGCCCCCTCGGCCCCCGCCGCGCCGCCCCCGCCGCCCGGGCCCGCTGCCGCCGCCGCCGCCGCCGCACTCACCACACTGCGGGCCCGGCGGGCCGAGGCCGGGGCGGGGCGGGGCCGCGCGCGCTCCGAGGCCGCGCGGGGCTGGGACCGGCAAGAGGGGTCCGGGCCCGGGGCTCGGGGGACTCTCCGCCTGCGCGGGCCGGGCCGAGTGCGCTAGGAAGGCCGGGCCGGACCAGGCTCGGGATCCGCCGCCGCCGCCGCCGCCGCCGCTCCACAGACGTCACATGATGTTTGGTCACGTGGGCTCCATTCATGAAGCGGCGACGCGGCCGGCGGGCGCTTAAAGGGGAAGGCGCGGCGGCGGGCGGGCGAGCCGCGCATGCGCAACGCGCTCGCCGTCGCCCCTGGCAACACCGGCCGGCGCGCGCTGGGCGGGGTCTCAGGGGCCGGTCCCCACCCCTAGTCCCCGGGATCCCCAGCCTCCGGATCCCCGGGATCCGGAGCCCGCGCCCGCCTCACCTGGCTCCTGCGCAAGCCGTCCGGGGACCCTGCCCAAGCTCGCGGGCGCCGGCGGCGTCTCTCAGCTCGAGTGCGCGAGCGAGGGCGGACTCCGCGTGCGTCCCCTCGAGTGGTGGCTGCGCCTGCCCCAGTCCTGCCCGGCAGAGGCGCTTTTGCGTCGGGACGGCGCCGCCGGGGCCCCGCGATTCCAACTCCAGGGTCTGGGAGCGGCGCGGGGCGGGGACGGCCTGGCGGCTTACAGCAGCTGGCACTGACTCCAGCCCGCAGCCGACCCCAGGCTTCCCGGGTCCCTCCTGCGCCACGTGTGCCCAGAGCTCCGCGCTGGGTTCGGCCGCTCCGCCAGGGGAGACCTCCCGGCTGTGGGAGGTGCCCGGCGGAAGGGGCGAGGACTCGGGGAGAAGGGAAGCTGAGGGGGATCCCGCTTCTGACTTTTCCTGCACCCTTTTCCCTTCGCAGCTGTGAAGCCGGGAAGGGGAAGGGTGGCCACCCCGCCAGCAGATGAGCGGGAGGAGGGAGGGGCGGAGACGGGCTGTGGGATCCTCCTGGGCTCCATCCGTCAATCCGTGAATGATGCAGGTGGATAAAGGCCTGTCCTGGAGTCCCGAAGCCGCGCGGTGTAAGGCTCGGAAGCGTCCCCAGGCCCGTCCCTGCCACAGCACGTGGTCGCCGTGTGCGCTGTGGGGCTGCATCTGGTTCTTACGGTTGTGTTCCTAGCCGTTAGGGACCTGTACCCCCTGCTTTGGGCACAGCCCGAGTGTCACAGGCTATAGGGGCATTATATGCTCCTGGTGTGGCTTCGGAGGCCTCGACCTTAGTGTACAAACCAGCACACGGGTCCCTGAGGCCGGGAGTGCAGCCCTGTCCCGGGTCCCGTCCTCTTCCTCACACCCCACTGGGTTGGCTCGGGGAGGGCGCCTTGAGCCTCTAGCCAACCTGCTCTGTCAGAGCGTGAGGTCGTGCCTTGCTTGGCTGTGAGGGCTGGGTCCATGCAGCAGGGACCTGCCCCCCACCCAGTCTCCTTCAGGACCCGCCCGCGGTGCCACACAGCGGGAGCTGGAGCCTCAGCGGCGCCCTGAGGAGTCAGGGATGATTGGCCCTGGGGCTGGCAGCCCACACTCCGGGGCTGACACTCACCAGGCTGTTCCCACTCACGTCTGGCACCCCGACTCCTCCTCACAGGGTCGAACCCGCTCTCATTTACACATCAGCATGGACTGGGAATGCATTTATGAATCATCCTCACTGGTGCTGTCTCCTCCTAGGAAGGAGCCTCACTCCTCCCCTCGATGGTCAGTGTCAGAGAGATGGGCGGGAGGGGTGGGGGGGAAGACACTCCGGGAGCTGCCCAGGCTCCTTTGCTGCCCATCACCCCAGAAACTTCTTGGGGTGGGTGGGGTCCCAGGCCACCTGCGGAGTAGCAGATGGTGGTTTGTAGAGGAGGTGTTGAGGTAGGGGAGGTGCCAGGGGAGGTGCCAGGGGATACAGCCCAAGCCAGCCCCCAGGAGCTGTCTCCCCGTACTTCCAGAGAGCCCAATGCGTTCTGTGGTGAGTGAGGGCCGCCAATGGCTCTGCACAAAGATCTCCTCATCTGCCCAGCAGCTCCTGGCCAGCTCCCCACGGACAGCCTGGATACTTGTCCCTGGAAATAGTGGGGCAGCTGTGTTTGGGCCAAAGTCCATGAGGCCACTGGAACAGCAAAAGGCTGCTCTACAGAGAGGGGATACTGCAAGACAGGCCTGCGGGTTTCTGAGCATCCCTCTCACACCACACAGCCGTCTCCACAACCAGCTGTAAGTGCCGCCTTGCAGGCCTGGCTCCCTGTCTGGACTTCTCTGCACCTCCGCGAGCTCATTTCCTGTTGCGGCTGGAAGCCCTCCTCCCACATGCACCTCCCCGGCACCCTCTGGCCAGGCCGTGCCTTCTGTGGACTGACCCGAGGACCCCATTGGTTCCTCCTGAGAGCAGCAGGTGCTGGGGTCCACACCCAGAAAGATGGATGGGATGGGCAGGAGTCCAGTCCAGCCCTGGTCTCCAGGCAGGTCCCTCCCAGGGTGGACATTTCCCATCTCTGCCTGGTCAGGGGCTGTTGACCCATTCATTCTGGCGCCTGAGCCTGTCCTGCACAAGCACCAGGGACAGGAGTCAGCTGGGCACTGGAGAGGCATTGGGCAGAGCAAGGGCCCCAACGGGCAAGCCAGAGTCAGGGCAATTCCAACCAAGAAACCAGCAGGCCAGGTGCGGTGTCTCACACTTGTAATCCCAGCACTTTGGGAGGCAGTGGGAGGATCGATTGACCCCAGGGCTGGGCAAGGTGGTGCATGCCTGTAGTCCCACCTACTCAGGAGGCTGAGGTGGGAGAGTCGCTTGAGCCCAGGGGTTGTATGCAGGCTGCAGTGAGCTGTGGTCATACCCCTGCAGTCCAGCCTGGGCAACAAAGACCCTATCTCTTAAATAAAAAAAGTAAAAGTTAAATAAAATAAAAAATCAACTGGGGCAGAAGCTGAACCAAGCAGAGGTCGCAGCTCCTCTATCAGGGCTTACCTGGCCTGCTGGTGACTCACTCCAAACTGCTTCATTTTTGGAGGAGGCTTTCCAGAACTGAGAGGTGTCAGAACTGCTGGTAACACGGGCAGGGAAGGCATCAACCATTCAGCCCGCAGCCCCATGGAGGGCTCCTCAGCCTGGCAGCATTTCCACGCTTCCCAGCAGGATTCATGGGTCCTTGCCCCCCAAAGCGATCCTCCTCGACCTGCTGCAGACCCACATGGAATGTGTTCCTATCCAGCTTGGGTCTGTCCTCACACTCTCAGTGGCTTCCTGGGTGTCCACCTCCCCACAGCCTGCCTCACGTAGCTTCCCAGATTTCTCACTTGTGTCACGAGCCTGTGGAGTCTGTCTGGCTCTACCTGAGTCCCTGCCTCTGGCCTCTGCTTAATCAGGAACCACAGCAGGAAGGCTCCTGGGGCCCACCTGCTGAAGCAAATGCCTCTGTACACCTACCCACCTCCTTGTGCTTCATCTGAGGCCCAAGACCTGTCTGCCTCTCTTGAAACCCATGTCGCCTGCTGCCTTCCCTCGTGTCCCCGGACCAGAAACACCTTTGACAGCTCTGCGACCCTCATCTTGCTCTGCGTCAGCATCCTGAGAGTGAGTGCTGGCAGGGAAACTGCCTTTGATGCAATGGAAGCAGTCAGGGGCAGCTTTGGTCCTGGGGCAGGCATGTGGCCTGTGGGACGATCTCTTCTGGGGGTACCTCTGCCCGGGTGGGGGGTGCCAGGGTCTTTGCTGGGGCAAGGGTGATTCTGTTGCTCACAGCCCTGTTACAGGTACATTTCCCACCCGCCCTGATCCCACATCCACCCACACGGCAGGGGGGCCTTCAGGGAGCCTGCAGGGACTCCCAGCCCAGCACCGGCCATTTGTGTCCCCCGCCTAGCTCCTGCACTGCCAGATCCCGGCCAGACAGCAGGTGCTCACCCCATCTACCCTCTCCTTTGTGCCTGAGTGTGGTGGGTGCTCAGTATGGTGGGGAACGGCTGGGACTTGCCACTGTGGCAGTTGTGGAGGGTGCAGCCATGCCATCTGCCCTGCTGCAATGTCTTCTCCCTGTTCCCTGCCTGTCTTCCCTCCCTCAGAGGGAAAGGGCTGGATTCTATCCCCCAAGTGCCCCTCCACACACCTCATACATGCCAAGCAGGGTTCTGCAGTGGGTCTGTGGGGTCTCTGGAAATGAGTTCCTGGGATGAAGTTCCCAGAAAGCTGCTCAGCTCTCCTGACACCTACACACCCTGACCCCTCCCAGCAGGCCCTGCCCCCACACATACCCTGAACCCCTCTGCACACCCTGACCCCCCTGCATACCCTGACCCCCCTGCATACCCTGGACCCCCACATACACCTTGACACCCTGTGGCCACCTGGCGCAGCTCCCTTCACACAGTGTGCACTGCCTCTGGAGGGAAGGGGGGCCTTATTCTGCTGTCTCTATGCTCAGTGTGTTGGTTGAAGGAACCCAACCCTCAGCAGCTCCTCCAATCTGGTGGCCTCCTGGGATGGCTGAGAGTACGTGTTCACCTGACTGGGCCACAGGGTGCCTGGGAGTTTGGTCAAACATTATTCTGTTTCTGGTAGGGGGTTGGTTTTGCATGACACTAACACTTGAATTTGCAGACTTTTGCATTAGATTACATTGACATTTTAATCAGTAAGGCAGATGCACTCCAAGATGTGGGCAGGCTTTGTCTCATCAGTTGAAGGCCCCCACTATTCCATCCACAATAACCACCCTCCCTCCCAGGTAGATCCTCCCTCCTCATGTGGCAGAATAAGCTAGGGCACTGGGGACTGGAAACCAATTTATAAAACTTAAAGGGCCAGGACAGAAGTGATAGCACCCTACCAGGCAGGTCAGGAGCTGAAGGCGATGGCCACAGGAAGTTCGCCAGCACCCCAAGGACCCCTTTCCCCAAATGTCCATGGCTTCTGGGTGCATGGCAGCCAAGAGGAGCCACACTGGGTGTGGGATGCCAGGGACCCTCTGGTCCTTCTTACATGGGAAGAAGAGGTTTCTACCTGAGTGGAGAGCAGGGAGTGGGTAGGAGGCAAGGTGGGATCCCACCTCCGCTAAGCCTTCACAGAGGGGGTCCTTGACCTTTGCACTCAGGAAGGAGCCCCCCACACCAGCTGACACTGGGGTAGGAGTGGGTGAAGACCCTCCGGGCTCCTGAGCTCTAGAGGAAGGTGGTCCTGACATAGTTTGGGAGAGAGGAGAAAGGAGGTTAAGCTTGGGGAATCCACCCCTGTTCTGGGGTGGGAAGCACTTGGAGATCACAGAAATTTCCAGTGAGAATTGATGAGGCTCCTCCTTGGCTATGTCCCCAGCGGTCCCCCTGCACTCATCCAGGCCACAGGCAGTGGGCCACTTCGGGGACCCCCAACCCCTCTAGTGAGGAGAGAAGAGAAGGTGGAGGCAGGATGGTGGGCAGGCAGGACGCATCAATCCTTCTTGCCTGCTGGGGCCAGGCTGTGGGGGAGCAGCTTGGTGTGGCCAGAAGGCGACAGAGAAGCCCCTGCAGGGGAGTCCAGCTTCACCTTGTCCAGGATGGTCTTCTTGATGGCGGCTGGGGACACCTGCTCCTGCTCAGCCATGGACTGCAGCTCCCTGGAGAGGTGGGAGAGGTTAGGTTCGGAGCACAAGTGTGCACCCGGGAGGTGGGAGTGAAGCCACAGCTCCCAGTGCCAGTCAGGCCTGGGCAATGCGGTCACCCCCACCTCAGCACATTTCATTCCCTCTGCCAGTGACCCACTCCTGCACAGCTGCTCAGTTCCCTCTCACCTCATTCAAATCAGCCTGGCATCACCAAATCTCCCCACAGGGCCCCCCATACTGAGTCCTCATGGCCCCACCATGGGATGTGGGTTTATGCCCATCTCCCCTGCAGGCCCCTCACTGTCACACGCTGGCACTCAGCAGAGTCTGAGGGTGTCTGGGCTGGAGAGCGGCCAGCGTGGCAAGAAAGATGCCCTCACCCACCCTGCAAACCTGAACTGGGGACAGCGACTCCCAGCCTGGCCCTGATCAGCTGTGGGATCCCGGGCAAACAGCAAACTCCGTCTCTCTCCTGCTCTTTGCTTCTGTTTCACTTTCCATGGAGTTTTCCTTGTGCCTGGATGCTACTGCATGTCCGGCTGGTCTAACTTACTTAATCCCCCAGTGAGAGAAGGAAGAAAGTGGAACCTGGCCCACAGAGGTTTCCTGATGTGCCTGGCCACCCTGCCACCCCACTGGTGTGGCCCCCGGCTGGAATAACCCTCCTGGCTGTGATGACGGTGGACCTATGTGGGGACCACAGGGCAGGACATCTGGGTCCCTCTGTAGATGTCCGCTTCTCACAGAAAATGGAAGGTGGGGGGCACTGCCCACAATAACCCCCCAGGGAACCTCAGGGCCCCCCGTGTCCTGCGCAACGCCAGGCCAGAGCGCAATACATATCTGCTGAGTGTGTGAATGAGCAGATGTGTGTGAGATGGAGGCCTCTGCCATGCCAGGACGTAACCAGGGATGCACGCAGATCGGGGGCCCACCGTGTGCGGATGCAGGAGGCTTCCACAGCGTTGATAAGCAGGGAGCGGAAGCCCCCACTTTCCAGCACGTGCAAGGCATGGATGGTGGCCCCACCAGGAGAGCAGACGTGGTCCTTGAGCTGGCCTGGGTGCTGTTCCGAGTGCAGCAGCATCTTGGCAGCCCCCTGCAGCCAGAAGGTTGACGGCTGTGGGCACCCACCTGTTTCTGCAGTGCACTGCCCCAGCCACCACAGCACCCTCTGACTCCCCACTCAGCTGCTCCCAATGCAGCCCCACCAGAGGGTCAGGAAACACACTGACCAGGAGGGCCTGGGCCCCGAGGCGGACTGCCAGGCGCCTTGGAAGCCCCATCTTCACGCCCCCATCAGCCAGGGCATCCAGGGCTGTGAACGCCTGTGGGGAGAAGGCACCTTGAGTCTCTGTCCTGGGCCTCTCTTCCTTCCCCTCTGGGCAAACTCCAGTTCCCACAGGCTTGCAGCCCTCCACCCTGGTCCTCCCAGGGGGGCAGGGACAGATGCACCCTGTGGTCCTGGGAAGTATCTGCTCCCACCAGCTGCCCCCACAGTCCTCACGTAGGCAGGGCCGCTGCCACTGAGCCCCGTGACGGTGTTGATCAGGTCTTCCTCCACCTCCGTGCAGAAGCCCACGCTGCTCATCAGCTGCTCCAGGAGCCTCCCATCTTCCACCTGGGCGTGTGTGCCTGTGGCATATACAGTGGCCCCCTCCCGCACCACGACTGGAGTATTGGTCATGCATCGGATGACCCTGGGACCTGGCCGAAATGCTGACAGCTTCTGGAGGAGAAACCAGTGTGTCAGTCTGGCCCTGGACACAGTGCCTAGATGCACTTACCCCACCGAGCAGTGCCCAAGTTCTCCTGGTGGGCTGGGACACTGCAACCCTTTTGCAGATGAAAACGGAAGCACTGAGGGCCAGGGCTCCAGTCCACCCTCTCCACACCCCGCTGGGCCTGCAGTGCTACCTTCTCGATGGAGCTGATGGTGACACCGGCTGCGCAGGACACCACAATGTGCCTATCCTCAATGTCGGCGCCTATCTCATCCAGGATGAAGGGGATGATGTGTGGCTTCACGGCCAGGAAGAGCACATCACTGTGCCGCACCGTCTCCTTGTTGTGGGGCGTCAGCTTCACCCCTATCTTCTGCGGAGGCAACAAGTGGGCTCAGCCTGGTCCTATGACTGTCCGCACCCCCACAAAGCCAAGGGCCCCACAGGTAGAATGGCACAGAGAATGCTGGATTTGGGGGTGGGCAGGGCTGGGGGCTCAGGGCTCTGACCACCCCCTCGATTACCCTTCCCACCCAGAAATTGAGGAAAAACTCTTTGTGGAATGTGTTCCTGTTGCAGACAGAAAAAGAGCCTCCATCAACGCCACCGCCCTGTCACCTCTCTCAGACTGCCGACCCAGACCCCTGCCCTCAATGTGTGAGTGGTGGTCTTCAGTGGTGTGCCTGCCATCCCCAGGTGTGCTTTTTGGCTGCCAGGCTGTGGACCCACCTGCCAGGCCCCCAGAGGAGCCCTGCTCAAACTTTAACCCTGTGCAGGGAAACTGCATTCCAGAACAGCACTTCCATCAGCTGTACACATTCCCACCACCCAGCTCCCAAGAGCAATCGGCATGGTGAGGGGGCAGGAAACCCCAGGCCAGGGACCCTGCCCTCACTGGGGTGGGGGCTGCAGCACACACTCCTGCCTCTCCATGCTCAGCCCCACAGGGACTCAGGCTCCTTCCTCCCTTCCACCTGCACCTACCCTGAGGGCAGAAACGGTGTCCAGGTCCATGTCTGGGGAGCTGGCCATTATCTTATGGGCAGCCAGAACGCCTGAGAGGGGAAAGAGTTCCTCTTCATGGCCAGTTCTGGCCTCTGTCCCTCCCCATTCCCAGGAAGGAGGGAAGACAGCACACCTAAAGCCCCAAATACACACAAGCTGCCAGTTCCCCCAGGACTCAGGCCTTGAGACCTAGTCCCCCACCTTCAGCCCCCATCCCCGCAGAAGGGGAAAGAGGCCAGCCTCTCCCACTGGGCCTCACCGTGCCCCACCCAGGGGCCTACCTGCTGCTGTGAAGCCCTTGGCCAGGGCAAAAGCCAGCTGGCCAGCACCGATGAAGCCCACGCTCATGCTGTCCGGAGAGCCCTGGCCGAAAGCCCCCACAGCTGGCACCGGCGCTGCAGAGGCAGCTGCGGGACGAGACCGGCAGGATCAAAAGCAAGTTGGGGAGGCAGTGCCAGCACGGCCGCTCCTCCCACGGCCGCGTGCCCACCGCCCTGGGTCCCAGCTGGTCTAACTTTCCACTTTGCTGTCCGTAGCCCCGGCCCGTTAACTGCTCCGGGGCCCCGGGACAGAGCGGCGATCCCCGGGTGCCGCCGAGGGTCCTGCACCCACTGGAGGGGTCGAGGCTCCGCAGAGGAGCTGACTGGAGGGGGAAGTCCGGGGAGGGCCCGGCGCCCGGGGGTCTCCCGTCTCGGCGCCCACCCCGCCCGGACTTGGGCGACCGTCGCTACCCGCCCGGGGGCCGCCGCCCACCATTCCCAGAGCCCGATCCCAGCCCAGCTACCCCGCGCAGGTCCTCCCCAGCCCGCAGCGCCGCGCCCGCCACGCGGCACCCACACCCCGCCCCCGCCCCCGCCGCGCTGGCGAATCCGGGCGCGGCTCCCAGGCGCTGGCCAATCAGAGCGCGCGGCGGCGCCCGGGCGGTTGCATCATCCGCGCCCGCTCCCCCGCCGCCCGCCGGACCCGCCCCTCTCGCGCCCCGCGGGACCCCCAACGCCCCGACGGACGCCGCCCCCGGCACGCGCCCCTCCGCTCTGGGCCCCGACCCGCGCTTCTCTGAGTAGCGCTTCCCGGGACCTGCACCGGGGGTCTGAGGACGCTGGCGGAGGGGCGGTCCGAGGGGCGCCTGCGTGTGAGGGGAGCCCGCCCGTGAGGGGAGCCCCCGTGTGGGGGGAGCCCGCGTGTGGGGGGAGCCCACCCGTGTGGGGGGAGCCCGCGTGTGGGGGGAGCCCGCCCGTGAGAGGAGCCCCCGTGTGAGGGGAGCCCCCGTGTGAGGGGAGCCCGCCCGTG